GGATGATCTCATGCTCAAAACTTGTGATTTGGTCTACTCTAAGTCTTGCTTTTCACTCACATGCTAGTAGGTAGTGCTCCGATTCTTCCATTGATGATCTCATGCTCCAAACTTGTGATTTGGTCTACTCTAAGTCTTGCTTTTCACTCACATAGTAATGGGTAGTACTCCGATTCTTCCATGGATGATCTCATGTTTAAAACTTGTGATTTGGTCTACTCAAACTCTTGCCTTTCACTTACATAGTAGTAGGTAATGCTCCGATGCTTCCATGGATGATCTCATGCTCAAGACTTGTGTTTTGAACTAGCCTAGCTTGTGCTTTCCACTCACATAGTAGTTGATGACATTCCGTTTCATGCTTGGTTGAATTCATGAGCCATAAGCATGTGTTTGAACAAGTCTCACCCACATGCATGACTTAACTTTCACATGACAACATTCCGTTTCATGCTTGGTTGAATTCCTGAGTTGTAAGCATGTGTTTGAGCAAGTCTCACTCACATGCATGGCCCAACTCTTACATGATGACATTCCAATTCTTCCTTGGTTGCATTCATGATGAGCCATAAGCATGTGTTTGAGCAAATCTCACTCACATGCATGACTCAACTCTCACATGATGACATTCTGATTCTTCCTTGGTTGCATTCACGAGCCATAAGCATGTGTTTGAGCATATCTCACTCACATACATGGCTCAACTCTCACATGATGACATTCCGATTCATACTTGTTTGCTCTTTCACCCATGTACATGTGTTTTCACTAGTTCAAGCCCCACTTTGTCAAGTTCATAAGAGTTGTAATGTTCTGATTCATACTTGGTTGCTCTTTCACTCATGTGCATGTGCTTTCACTAGTTCAAGCTTCACTTTGTCAAGTTCAATCATGTGTTGATGTTCCGGTTCACACTTAGTTGCTCTTCTGCTCATGTGAATGTGTTCCACTAGTTCTTTGTCAAGTTCAAGCATGTGTTGATGTTCCGGCTCTTACTTAGTTGCTTTTCTACTCATGTGAATGTGTTTCACTAGTTCCTTGTCAAGTTCAAGCATGAGTTGATGTTTCGGTTCACACTTAGTTGCTCTTCTACTCATGTGAATGTGTTCCACTAGTTCCTTGTCAAGTTCAAGCATGTGTCGATGTTCCGGTTCTCATTTAGTTGCTCTTCTACTCATGTGAATGTGTTCCGCTAGTTCTTTGTCAAGTTCAAGCATGTGTTGATGTTCTGGTTCTCATATAGTTGCTCATCTACTCATGTGGATGTGTTCCACAAGTCCAAATCTTCACTTTGTCAAGTTCAAGCGTGTGTGGATATCCCGGTTCACACTTAGTTGTTCTTCTACTCATATGAATGTGTTCCACTACTCCAAATTTTCACTTTGTGAAATTCAAGCATGCGTTGATGTTCCGGTTCACACTTAGTTGCTCTTCTACTCATGTGAATGTGTTCTACTAGTTCAAATCTTCACCTTGTCAAGTTCAAACATGTGTTGATGTTCCTATTCACACTTGGTTGCTATTTCCTCAATGTGCATGTGTATTCACTAGTTCAATTTCACTTTGTCAAGTTCAAGAATCTGTTGATGTTCTGGTTCACATTTAGTTGTTTTTCTACTCATGTGAATGTGTTCCACTAGTTCAATCTTCATTTTGTCAAGTTCAAGTATGTGTTGATGTTCCGATTCACACTTGGTTACCCTTTCCTCCATGTGCATGTGCATTCGTTAGTTCACTTTGTCAAGTTCATGTGTATGGTAGTGTTCCGATTCACGCTTAGTGACTATTTCACTATGGGATGGGTGACCGGCATTCGGCTGTTACCACTAAGGGATGGGTGACCGACATTTGGCTGCTACAACAGAAAGTTCATTTGATTAGGACTAGAGGTCTCTCTCTCTCTCTCTCTCTCTCTCTCTCTCTCTCTCTCTCTCTCTCTCTCTTTCTTGTCCTCTCTCTTCCTCCCCTCACTTGGCATATGACGAACCCCTCTTCCCTCACTTGTTACATTGTCAGGGAACGAACGGTAAAGAAAAAATCAGGCCTCAATTGGTGGAAAAAAAGGGCAAGGGAAAGGTAGCCGGTCCCTTGTGCCGCGAAGAAGGAAAAGGGGGAAAGGACATTTGAAAGGTTGGAAGAAGGCGGAGTCCGGAAGAAAGTACGATTTGAAGCAAAGGTCAGTTTGACTCAACCATTTCCTCGACTGCATGACTACAAGAAGAGAATGGGTTGATTGAGCACAAAGAGAAAGCCTAAGGAAATGGAAAGATAGGCATGCGGGAAGGGTTATGTGTTGACCCTGATGGGGGATTGTACCGGTTTTTGCTTTGTGTGGGATTGTGCAGGTAAGTAAAGGCTTGGGACCCGTTGAGCGGGATAGGGCCGGGAGAAACAGGGCGGCAAAGGGAGAAGGAAGAAGGGGCAAAGGGGCTACGGGACCCCAAGCATAAAACCAATCCTTGAAAGTAATTTTTGCCTTTGTGTCTTGGAATGTAAACGAAAGAGGGAAGTGCAAACTTGCTAAGGGAAATGTGAAGTTGCTTGTGCATGCATGTAAAGGCCCCAAAAAGACTAAGGGGCCTGCGTCAATAAGGATGGATGAGATGCTTGAGACTCGAGGGGTGCCTTGGAGGCGAGGGGGAGGACGGCATCGCCACGCCCCGATGATGCCATAGAATTGCAATGCTTAGGGAAATGGTGTGCGGCCTAAGGATGACGCTTAGCCTGCGTACAAGAGAAGATAACTCTCAAAGAACCCCTGGACTGCCTGCGTATTGGAAGGAGCAATTGCTTGAGAACGCAACCAAGAATCAAAAAAAAAATCAGTGTTGCCGGATGACCAGCGAAACTACCACCTGGCGTGAGGGTTGAGCTACATCCCCAATGTCAAAGCTCTCTCGCATGATGGCCCACCCCCATCCATTTCACTAGGTGGGGGTAACCCTGGGACGAACGGCCCGCGCCCCGAGCATGAGCGTGGGCGGGCCGAGCCAAATAGGACCCGCAGTGGGGTCGACCAAGGCTCGAAAATCTACCAGGGTTTGGCCCTACAAAAATGGTGGAGGTGGCGGGCATGGGGTTAAACTGACCCTTGCGATTCCGAAGGGGGCGCCCTACGCATGACCGTATACACAACTAAAGATAAGGAAAATGGACTTTCCCTTGAGAGAATCAGATTTGAGAGTGGCTGGGCGCATGGCATGGCCAGGCCAGGAGGTAAAACATTTATGCTATGCACTTGCTTAGCCACCTCCTTGTGGGATGGCTCTAGCCCTCCTTCGTCTGGTGTTGGTGTTCGCCAGTCCGGGGAAGCTTTGGGCAAGTCGCAGGTCGACCCTTCCTCTTTGTATGAAAGAAGGGCTCCGGTTACCTGGCAGGCGGTTGGTCCTTCGGCTTAGGCCGGGGTCCGATGAAAATCCCACGGCGGAGTGATCCGACCGAATGGGTGCCCTTCTCTCTTCTTCTTTGAGCCCAGCGGGCTCATGCATTATACACATTGAAATGCGTGAAGGAACCAACATGAACACAAAGGGTCATCAAGAAAGAACAACCCCTCCCTACGAAAGGACAGACAAATGAAGAGAAAAGGGAATAAAGGGAGTTGCTAGCCTCCAAGGAAAACTAGCTCACCCTTGAAGGTTCTCACGAGAAGGAACCAATCACTTTGTATGGAAGTAGGGGGAGTGACACTCATTGTCCTGAGAGAAGATTGTGAGTCATGGGTAGAAAGCGCTGGGTGCACCAAGGGAAACGTACTTGTATTATGTGTGTCCCACTTGGGACTTGTGACTTACATGATGGGATTTGAGCGTCCTGCCTTTCGGAAGGAAAGGATGGGTCTGCACCGGCTGGTGCGGGTTGCGAAACATCGTTCTCTTTGAAGTTCGCCGGGTTTCGTATGTGGAGGTCGGGCCACCGAGCCGTCGACCAGGAATTTGTCTGTCCGGTTGATTAGTAGCATTCTCAACTGGGCGGTCCGAGCATGGCTCGATGATCTTGCCCAGGCGGGGTGCGAAACGTCTTCTTAGGCGGGGCTTAGCCTGTTGGCTGGCGGGGGGAGTACCACTGCATGCGGGGCAAGGAGGGAACCTCGGAGACGATTAGTAGTTTCTCGTAGTACGGCTTGGGAAAGGTTGATTCTTGTCAGACCGATGAAAGTGAATGCTCGGACGACTGACTATTGCTCCTAACGGGGCGCGCGGAGTGATTCCCGGTACCAACAAGGGTATGCAAGAGTGGCAAAACGGGATGGGGTATTTTGGGCAAATAGAGAGGGGTAACACCCAGTGTCGGAGCCTGGGTGCCGCGCTCGCGACGGTTGAGTTGCGCTTGAGATATGGGATAAAACTCTACCGAAAATATCAACGGAGAGACCACATTGGGGAAAGGCCGGTGAGGAGATGACCGGCCCGTATGTGAGATTGCCTGATTTTTTTGTGTATTCCTCCCCTGTAAAGATTGATTGAGGCTGGACTATGGAACGGGGTATGAATCTAGTCTATTCTCACCTCCCTATCTAAGTCTACATGAGTGAGAGATGATTGGAAGGAAGGAGGATAGAGGTCAGTCGGAATGGAACGAAAAGAAAGAATGTTGGGAAATGGATGGCCGACCGAGGGTACTATGGGAAGGAGATACTTAGGGAAGGGAAGGGAAGGGAAAATAGGAAGACCTTGATGAGGGGTCTGAAATAATGCTCATCTAGGATGCAGGTTGACCTGACCAGAAGGGACGTTTGGTACTCTCTTATGGAAACAGGGGTCGGGTGCTGGAAAACAAGATGGTGTGGTGGTTGTCATCCCCGATCTATACCAACGATCCGGAAATGCCAGTAGATGTAAAGGATGGGGTATCGGTCGTCCTCCCGAAAGATGGGACGTGGACAGATCTTAAGCCAGCATATCAAACCGTAATGCTGGAAGAGGAAGACGCGTTCCTTTGGATAGAAACGGTATGGACTAAAGTCAGCTTGACAAGGTTGCCGCCGAGCTTAATGAATTTGGAGTTCCGAGGGACGGTGGAAGCCCGGGGTTGGGTCTACTTGTCGCAAGATGGGGAGAACGCTATGGTCATAGATTTGGTGCTAGGGAATGCGCCGGACGAATTGTTTAGGAAGGCGGAGAGGGAGGTTGTATGGGTTGCGTGTCAACGGACGGAAATGGAAATGGAAAACATAGAGGTGCGAGTGGAACTCGGGGATAGAGGGAACGTGAGGCGACCCGTCAGAACAATGCGGTGTGTGCTGCCCCCATTTCTGGTGGATGCTGTCTTCGGAACCCAGAGCAGGCTAGTACAGATATGCCAGTCCATGACGACCCTTGGACTATACCAATGCGCCAAGCAGGATTTCTTCCGGTTGTCGGTAGAAATGAGACCGTTTGAAGGGAATTGGTCAGAGGAGCTGGCCGAGATGCTAAACTGCCTTAGCATAGATAATGTCTTCGTCCCTAGCTCTGTGCATTGGGGGATAGTCTGCAGGAATGTGGCAGTAGGGGAGACATTCCTGAAAGGTGTGAATGAATTGTTCTATAACGAGGAGGACGACTTCAGTGACGAGGACGAAGGTGATGAGATAGAGGATTGGGACTTCTAAGGTGGGGGACTTACTTAGGGAGACCGAGTGGTCTGACATTGTGCAGGACGGGGAAAAATGACTAGAGAAGAATTGCTGATGGACTGCACTTTCAAGGGATGGGAACCAAGGCGACTCAAAGGGGGAATAAAAATACCTATACCAGCAGAAAACGAATGGAGAGGGACCACGTGCGACCGGGTCGGATTTGAAGTTGCCCCGGGACTATCATACGTATGGGTAGAGCGGATTTGAAACCCAATAAGGGAAGAGGAAGGCTGGGATGAGATAGCGTCGGGACTATCATACGTATCGGTCGGAACGGTTGTTCTCTCCGAAGACGGATGGCGTCTATTCTGCATTATGATAACAATGGGACAGGATTCGATGTGGCTTCTAGGGAATGCGGAGGCGCGAACCCGAAGGGAGAGCGAGAGGTTTGCCAACGAGGGATGGGCCGAAGTCAGTAGTAAAGTTGTGATGGGGGGATGGAAGAAACTCGATCCTCCCAGCCTGCGAACAACGGTTTGGGTGCCTGAGTTCGTGGCCGAGTGGTTTGGGGGTTTAAGCACATCTTAGAAGTGGTAGACTCCATAAAAGAAGTGCATATAGAGTGTGCTTGGCTGACTGAGGGAATTCTATAAGACCTCGTTAAAATACGGACCCTTCTACGGTGATAAAGTCTGGGAAATTCTCGCCATCCTGATAATAGGTAAGTATGACCGCCTAGAGGTAGACGCGGAAGCCTGGGACGCCATAGTTAGCCGGGAGGCGGCGGACGCTCCATCCTACGTAGATGATGTTTTTAAATTGTTTGAAGTATTGTGGTTCGATTAAAAGGACCGGGAAATCGAATGTCGTGAGGAGGTCGGAGTATGGAAGGTGCATGTAAACTAGGGAGTAACATAAAATAGGGGCTTGTGCATTAGTTTAGCAGGGCATGTGAGGAGATTGAAACAAGGGAAGGTGTCCGGCCATTGTGGGCGCAGATGTGGGACGCATAACAGAAAAGAGGAAAGGGGACATAAGCGGAAAGGGAAACGATAGGAGGATGGGCAATTGCTGAAAAACGGGCCGTAATCCTCTCTGTGTGGGCTATGCAGGAAATCACCAAAACAACAATGGCGGCAAGATGTGTTCGAACGGTACGCCAGCCCAGGTACCTCGGCCCGCCCTGGAATAACGGCAGAGGGTGGGAAGTGTCCCTTCCGTCAAGTTTCGACTTTCGGGGATTCGACGTGGAATGGCGGGCCGTGACCTTGGGAAGGGACAACGCCTTCATGATGGTGGAATGTCGGTGGACGGGGATGAGATTCAACCGGGGACCTGGGGATGATTTGTTCTCCAATTTAGAAGTAATCGAGGCCGTGTATCTACCCGAGATCAGGTGACACTCGCTGGGGATAGGAATATCACAAGGCCACGAGTTGCCCCCAGTCTTTGGAAGGGCCGCCTGAGCATTGACACAAATAGGCCAATTAATCAGGGGTAGGAGGAACGTGGGCTTACTCACTAGGGTGGGCGCCGACAACCCCACTGAGATGCCGGGTCCCCCGATTCATGATAGACCTCATCTTCGGGAGCCTCGCAAGGGCGCAGGATCTGGCAGACTCGGCAATAATCTGGGGAGATCACTTCCCCCATCAAACCATCGGGATGTTCTATGACGTTGTTGTGAAGCATGGACCGTTCTGGGAAAACCAGACCCATGAATTGCTGGAAGTTATTAATATCTTGATATTTGAGTTAACACGGCTAGCCTGGGCGGAATACGAGCACATAATTCGGAGGGAAATCGAGATAGGAGAGAGTTATCTAGAGGGGGTGGCTCAACTATTCGAGGAACCTACCGAACCGGAAGGGCCACGAGGACGAGAGCGGGACTAGGACCCGAAGGCAAGCCAATAGGGCAAATCAAGTATATTCCGCTACGTACAGGGGCTCACCGATGGGAATAGGGAAGGACCATCGGACTCGGACGATCAAAAACCGTTGCGGGATAAGGGGAAGAGCAAACTCATGATGATTGCGGTGACCCTAGAAGTTGAAAAGGGGATACTGCGCAGGGACTTTTCCTAACAGGATGCCCGACCAGAACTCCTACGGGTCGGGCACGGCGAAACTGGGGCGCTCTAAACGAGCCTGTCGTAAGGGAAACTAAGTTACATTCCTTAGCTCAATAAGGCAGCAGGGCCGACCGTGGCTCGTTCTTAGGGAAGCGATAAGAGGACGGAAATGGGGACGGGGCGACTCTCAAAATAAGCTAAGCCAAAGAAACCAGAACCTATGGAACCTAAATACCTCGCGCTACCTGTGTCTTGGGGAATCCTCTGGTTTATGCAGAACTAGGCAAAATGGTGACGGAAGATGAGACAAATAATCGTAGGAGCGAGGAAGGACCAGGCTTAGGAGGCAGCGCTGTACACAGCGAGGAGGGTCAGAAGGACAAAGTATCCATAAATCCGGATGGTACCAAGAGGAACCGGAAGAAAATCTCCTCAGGGGAGAACTCGGGGAAAGCCGGGGGAAGCAAGCAAGGGACCCAGGAGACCAGGGAGGGTAGAAATAAGGACAGGACAAACCCCCAAAATTCGGATGGAGCTGTGTCCAAGAAAGTAAGAATCACGGATGTGAGGCGCAAACTAGCGAAAATAGAAAAGAGGACCGCAGAGTACAAGGCAAGATTGATTGAGGAAATGATGACTGAGAACGAGGACGACCCCCCGCAGGAGGTACCGCGAGATGATCGGAAAGTCGGTCAAGGCGGAAGTAGACGAGGGGGTAAGGATAGTGATCGCGGAGGGACACCAAGCAAGAGGAGGAACGAGAGAGAGAACTCCCCGGGTATGGAAGCGGAGAAAGCTACGAATCCACCAACCATAGATAGCATGGTTAGCCGCCTGCCGGCCACGCCAGCAGCAATGCGAGGGTGCGAAGGGCTCTGGAGCCTTTGGGAAAGGGTGTTGGGATGGTTCGACCCGGAGGGGACTGCAAAGACTAGAGAAGGACAGCGGGCCGACAAAGGGGGACAGGATACCAGCACGGCGGGCGAGGCCAGTAGCTCCGAAGGCGGCCTCAAGAAGATAGTGTCGTCCCTCGCACGAGCACTAAACAAAAACCAAGGCTACCTCGCAGGCGCTAAGAAAAAGATGACATTTGACAGGGCAAACATCACGGAGTTCCTAATAGATTACGAGAACCTGGCTGCGTTGTTAAAATGGACCGAAGAAGAGAAGATTGACCACCTAGGGCAGCATGTGTCATTGAGCCTGGGACGAGACATAATCGCCATCGTAGCCCCGAGCCGATCTTGGAAGGAAACCCGAGATGTAATGATGAGGAAGTACCTGGCAGCGAAGAAGATGGCAACAGAGGCCGATTTAGCGGCATTTCAAAGGAAGAACTTCGCAACGTACAACGACTTCCTATGAGAGTTTACCCTGGTAGCACTAAGGATCCCCGGGGTTACAGACCGGATAATGAGCAAGTACTTCCTCAGGCAGTTCTTCGAGTTCGACAAGGACAAGATCCTGTCGGCTTACCAACAGACGAGCAAATTTGTAAACACCAGGGATGTTGATTTCAATACGGTAACGGATCTGGCCGAGAAGACAGTAGTGACCGAAACGTTGGCCTTGCTTAAGGAAGGGGAGGTCTTAGATCTGACAAGAAGGACAGGCGACAAGGTAAAAATGGGGATTGAAAGTCTACATGAACGTGTGCACGGAGTCGATAATAAGATTGAAAGGGTGGAGAACGCACTGATGGTTATGCAGGCGCAAGTATCACGACCCGCCCTCCCCCCTTAAGAAGCCGTAGTTCGGGCAAGAGTAGCCAACCGAGGATTCGGTCGGAGAGATCCCGCTAATGAGCAATGCAAGTATTGCACTGCGGCGGGACATTTTGTGCGTGCATGTCCTAAGCTCAATCACAATATATTAAAAAGGAGATGTACCAGATCATTAAAGGGGGAGATATTCGGACCACAGGGAGAACGGGTGAATTGGAACTCACTAGGGGGAATGCAACGCACCATTATCATGCTCAATGGGTTAGAGATAGCGGCAGTAGAAGCTGAGTCGGTGGTCGATATCATATGGGACCAACTTCGGGGCCGTGGGCTGCAGGTCAACTTCATTTTGGAAAGCGACGGACGAGATAGGGTGAACGCGACTACTCGACTGGGGACGGCAGAGAGAAGGATTATCCGTGACACTGTGATGGAAGAGGTTGTTGGAGGGTCCGCGCCCCAGGCAACCAGAGAAAGTTTACGGGAAACCTAGGGAAGAGGAGCCTACGGACAAAGTCACTGCTGCCAAGAAAAAGTTTAGATATCAAATTCCGATTCTAACCATGCCTAAGATCGACGACACCCTTAGCAAACTGTTAGGAAACATGGTGTCGGTGTCGTTTCAGACCATGTTGCAAGCCAGCCCCAGATTGCTCAAAGGCCTTAGCCAACTGTTGACTCGCCGGCGAGTAGAGATAGACGAGAATCCGGAACCACAAGAAGAGGAAAGGGAGGAGGAAGCTCCGTAGGAGGTCGCTAATCTTCAAAGGAGCCCTGGAGATTTGGAAGATTTAGAGAAGGCCTTTGCGGACTTCCGCCTGAGTTTGCCGGACCGTGAAGGCGGGGAAGTTATGAGGGCTCCACAAGGAACGAAGCTTAGTTTCCATGCGCTGCCCGTAGGGAAGTTAAAAGTGCAGATCGAGACACATCACACATATGCTCTAGCAGACGGAGGTGCGAAAGTCACGCTCATAAGGAGAGATTTCACAACAGCTACCGGCTGTGTGGTTAACAAAGAAGTAATGGGGAGCATCCGAGGGGCCGGTGGCGAGATCCCATTTTTAGGATACGTCACCAAGTGTGCGGTCAAGGCAGGTGTACGGGAGTTGATCTGTGCATTCCAACGGATGACGGTATTAGACGAGATGGACCACGACATAATTATCGGGAGGCCTTGGTGCGCCAATGTAGAAATGATAGGGATGCACCTGCATGATGGCACGGTAACTGGCCGTGGGGAGCTCCTCCGACTCATCGGGATCAGAGGGGACCCTCCCAAAGGCAAGTTGGCTACATGGTCACCGACATTCGAGGATAGCGCCCGGAAGGGGGGTTTTGCGCGAATCATGATGGAAGGCATAAGAGAGAGGGTAGAAATTATGATTGAGGAGGCATTCAACAAAAAGGAATGGATCAAGATGAGCCTGCCTTAGAAGAAGAGGAGGCAGGAGGACGAAATCTTAGGTGTCATGGTGGCGGAAAAGGGGTCAGAGGTTGAGCTTGGGGCCAGCCTGCCCAAGCGGAAAGAGGTGCGCATGGACGTACCGGAAACCGTGCTCGAGATTCCCGATTTATTACATCTCATCAAGGCTATCAGATACCACAAAGTAGGGGTGGACCCGGTGGCATTGGCCAAATTCGAAGGAGAAGTGCAAAATGGATATTGTCTGAATGGAAAGATAGTCAGTATTCAACCACGGATCGTAGAGGCGACGAGGGTAATTCCGGCCGTTCACTTTTTAGGAGAAAGATCCCGGAAGGAAGTGTTCGAAAGTTCAAGCCAGTAGGGAAGAAAGCGAAGCCAGTCTCCATCCTGCTAGAGACATCTAAGGAAGAGGCTATGGAAAGGGAGGAAAAAAATTTTCAAGTATTTCGAGAGAGGCGAGCGATGGAAGGGCACCGGATACCGGATGAGGTGGCCGACAAGATGAAGATAGGGATAGAGGGGTTCTTAACAAAATAAGCAACCCTCCTGATCAAAAGGACGTGTCAGGAGTTTCACCTGACGTTTGTCTTTAATGATCATCAAAAGGGGCGGTTAGACGCGAAGCTTATCCCTCCGATCAGGATCTACACGGTAGAGCATGAATGTTGGAATGACAAGGGACCGGCCTATGAGTTCGGGATAGCAGGAGAAGTAACAGATCTTCTACGAGCAAAAATTGACTCCTTCGTTGCAGAGCCAACCGCGTCGCCATACGCAAATAGGTAGTTCGTCTTTCGGAAGCCCAACAAGACGCTAAGGTGGATTCAAGACTTGCAAAAGTTGAATGCGGTAACCATTCGGGATGCCAGGTCACTACCACAAGCCGACTTGTTAGCCAGGTCTCACGCCAGCCGGTGCATTTATTCCCCGGTGGATGTGTACTCCGGGTACGATCAGCTCCCGCTGGATGTCCGAGACAGGCCATACACCTCAATGCACACCCCGTAGGCCAGTTGCAGATGCAGGTGACCCCTATGGGCTTTACAAACGCGGTAGCCGAGGCACAAAAAAAGATGCTCGCCGTAGTCGGGGATATGTTCCCGGAAAAGTGTGAACCTTACATCGACAACAACCCGATCAAAGGCGCCCAGGAGAAGGGCGAGACGGAGGTCCAGCCGGGAATTCGAAAATTTGTGTGGGATCATATGCAGGTCATTAAAGACTTGCTCCGCCGGTTTCTAGTATACAACATTACGGCTAGCGGACCAAAAAGTATTATGGTCGTACCGGAAGTAATCATACTTGGGTTCCGTTGTGGCGCATATGAAAGGAAGTTGGACCCGACAAAGACCGATAAGATATCGCAGTGGCCAACGCCCCTGCGCACGACGACGGAGGTAAGAGTATTCCTGGGCGTGGTCAGCTTTTGGAGGATTTTCATTAAAAATTTCGCCAGGATTGCCGAACCTATCCACGCCATGATCAGAGAAGAGGGAACCATGAATTGGACGGATGAATGAGAAAGAGCCGTCCAAGCCCTCAAGGACATACTGACGTCAGAGCAAGTCACTTTGGCAGCCCCGTGCTTTAACAACGAGGTTGGACAACCGTTTATTCTAGAAACGGACGGAGGGCCCTTGGCCGTAGGAGGTGTCGTGATCCAAAAAGATGAGGGAGGTAAGGAGAAACCAATTAGGTTCGAAAGTAGAACCCTGAACTCAGCAGAACGACGATACTCGTTGTTCAAGAAGGAGGTCCTAGCCATTTTGCATTGCCTCAAGACCTTCCAGGCCTACCTATTTGGAAGGCGGTTCATCCTAAGGATCGATCCGACGAATGTCATAGGGGCTTTAAAGAATTACAATCCTATAGATTCAACGGTGGGGAGATGAGTAGGATTCATCTGGCAGTTCGATTACAAGATCGAACGAATTGCTGGAATCATAAACAAGGCCGATGGGCTAAGTCGGGTCTGCATCACACTCGAAGGGGTGGAGAATGCGGAGCCCATAGACGCATTCCTTGAATACGAAGGAGGAACTTTTTCGGTGGATAACAAAATGATGGGCGAAGAATGCGCGTCGGGAGAATTGTTGATCCGGACTTTGGAGAAGGGGGCACCTGCCGTAGTAGCAAAAAATAGAGAAGGGCCAGTCACCACTCGAGGACGCAAGGAGGAGAAAGATTCATGGGAAGCGATAGTAGGATCGAAGGAGGAATTAATAGCAATGGAGGTTGAGGGAGGCCTGGGAGCCGTGATGAGCCTAGTGGAGTCTTGGGAACGAAAAGAGTTGCAGTTGATGGTAAACCAGATGCAGGAGAGAAAAAACGAGGACCAGGAAGGAAGAGAGTTTTTCTATGTTCAGATGTACGAAGGGATCTTTCGGGAGATTGGATTGTTGCTCGTAGGAAACAAACAAACCATGGAAGTCAGTCTTAAAGCAAGGGAGGCAACCAAGAGGTACACCCTAAGGGGAGGCCATCTGTTCAGAAGGGAGGAAGGTGTTATGCCTAGAAGAGTTATATGCGGAAGGTCCAGTCATTTGGACGTGAACCAGGCAATGCACGACGGACTGACAAGGGGACATCGATCCTCCAAAGGGACCCTTGCTAAGATAACGCCTCTTTATTATTGGTCGGCCATGGCAGGGATGATCGCCACGTATTGTCAGACTTGTCTGATCTGTTAGGAACGGAGCTCGGCACACGTCTTCGGGCCACTTAGACCAACACGGGTGCTGGGGCCGGGACATTTGGTCCACCTTGACCTTGCAGTTATGCCTGTATCAGCGGATGTGTACAGGTATATCCTAAATGCGCGGGACAACTTGAGTGGGTTCGTGGAGGCTGTCGCTCTCAAGAAAAAGACGGGGAAAAGCGTAGCAAATTGGATAGAGGACTTCTACCTGAGGCATCCCTTCATCAGGAGGTTTATAGCAGACAATGGGACGGAATTTGTAAACCAAGAAGTGTTGGGAATGCTTAAAAGGCTCTGTGTACCGATCAAACTCATCGAGCCACATCACCCGGAGGCCAATGCACCTGTGGAAAGGGGGCACCGGACATTAAAAAACACAATTGCGAAGCTCGCAACAGACAATCTGGGGAGTTGGCCTGGATATCTTAAGCAGGTTGTCTTCTAAGAAAACATGACACCTAAGAGGACAACGGGGTGTATTCCGGCGGAACTCTGGTA